GATTCTTAACCGCGGAGGAATCTAGATTCATTCAACGGATACGTTCATAGCGTGGAAGGGTCGTCAGTGAGTCAATTAATGGGAGCTAATGTAAAGGTAGATTATCGCTACATGTTCCTGTGTGGAAGCACAGATGCAGACAGATCCTCTAAATCGCACGTCAATCGACGCGAAGTTTCTTTCTTTTCAGAACATCGTCTCCTTATCAAAGCTGTCGATATCATTTTGATAATTGAACGTTTCTCTTTCTCAATCGAGTATTCTGCTACTATTATCAAACATCCTATCAAGCTCTTACTATCAAATTCCTACTTTTAGCATCAAATATTTGTTTTACTTCAAAAAAGTTAATACAATAATAGAACATAGAATAATATAACAAAAGTAAATAACAGAGGGAGAAGACAAGATTCATTTAACTAAAATTACAGTTAATTTTATCCCCAACCATTTTTTTGGTCGTTCTAACACAAAAATAGTAGCATATAAAATTATTATCACTAACATTATATTTAATAAAAAATTAAATTTAATAAAAAAAATGTTTACTATAATTCTCTGTGAATATAGTTACAAATATTTCTTTTCTCAGTATGACGTTAAATAATCCTTTCATTATAACGTAACAACACTTCTTTTGGGAGTCATCAGTGATCAAGAAAATAAATACAATAGCAGTGGGTCTTTTGCAGCGGATAGAAAACGTTTGCCCGTGGCAAATTTTCGCGGTTATAGAACTGCCGCGGTGACGATCAATTTCGCGCAAGCACCAATGCCGGCCCTGAGGAAGGAAAAACAAATCGGACGGTCGGTCATGCGTCAAGATTTTAAGTAAACACGCGCAGGTACGCGCGTTCATGCGCGGGCACGCAACCGAGCGCGCACGGACTGCGCGTATTAAAAAAGCGCGCGCGCGTTTGCTCTGTCTCGAAGACCTCTTCGCGGGCACGTACGGCTAGAAGAGGAGTCTTGCTCCGAGAACTCTCCTCCCGATTTAGCAGCCGTGTCACCGCCTCTGCTCACCTTCGGAAGGTCTCTCTTTCCAAGGTTGAAAGTCTAACGACCGAGACACGCCGATCCGTCATTCGTGATCGGCCAGATAACAGGATTACACGTCGATTCTTCTTAACCCCAGAATGCTCTCTCTTGCGGGATAGTAGAAGATAACGTGTGCACTCGTGGACACCTGCGCGCGCGGCTGCTTTGCGACCAATAACGGCAACAAAGAGGTATTTTGAGCGCATCGATAGATTATTATAAGATCATTATAAGAACAATTACGTTTTCTAGCTTTCCGTGACGTTGCCTCTGCTGGAGTACGTTGGACAGAGAGAGAGAGAGAGAGAGAGAGAGAGAGAGAGAACTATTGTACATCGCGCAACTATTAACGTGATATATCGCGGATCGTTTCTTTTTTCTCTTCTAATTGGAAGCTTCATCATCAACAACGATCCATAACGTCTCAATTAATCCGGGACGACAATTTCCGGTTAGACCTACGGTAGTGAGCTTCTCGCCGTAGCCATATATTCATCCAAACGACTGAATCTCTAAAGACACCCGTGGAATATAAACTCGTGAAATAACATAATTGGAAGAGCCGCGAGAGAGCCGCGTCACTCGGCCGCCATAAATACAAGGATTAATACTCGGGGCCACGGTGACAGTGGTGGTGAAGGCAGTGGTGGTAGTGGCGGTGGTAGTGGAAAGAGTACACAAGAAACTTATTACTTGCACCATAAAAGTAGCACACGGGAATACACGCGAGTAATTTACACCTACGACAACGGATTCCCGATGGCATGGCGAAGCAGAACACGGAGAATTCGAGCGTGAATTATGACGTCGGCTTGCCTAATGCACCCTAATACGCTCGTAGTTGGTCTCTCTCTCTCTCTCTCTCTCTCTCTTTCCCTCTCTCTCTCTCTCTCTCTCTCTATTTTTCTTTCTCTTGTTGTTGAGAAAGGCCGCGGGAAAACGAATAATTTGTCAGACGCAGCGACCATTTTTCCACGACGTAATCTCCCATCGAGCACAAGTACAGGAAGAGAGAAAGAAACGGAGAAGAAAAAAGAGAAAGAGATAGAGCGAAAAAAGGCTCAGAGGCTCGCGTGGAGAACGAGAAGCGAGTGGAAAGCGTAGGCGGGGCGCATACCAGAGGCACCTGCTCATTTACTTCGCGCCAGTCGGTCGGTCGAGAGGGGATCCTCATTAGGATTTGCCCCTACCAGGCCATCGCCACTACCGTTCTCCGCTCTGTCGGCCGTGCTCCTAACGCGCGACATCGAGAGTATAGCGGCTAAGAGAAAAAGAGAGAGAGAGAGAGAGAGAGAGGAAGAAAGGTAGAAGAGATAGAAAAGTGATAGACAGAGAGAGATAGGAAGCACGATTTATTCCGGGGATACGCTCCCGTCGGCGTGTAAACGCGGCTACATGTTTACAAGATTGTAACATCGGTTACGTAAGGTAAATGATTGCGCGCTGAGTGAGAAATCATATACGCATTTTTCCATTTAAAGATCAAGAACGCTTCCGCCTCTCGCGGAGATTAATTGCGAGAGCGCTCCGGAGAGTAACCGTAGTCAGTAACGGAAGGTGGAGGGACGAGCGAAGTTATCTGTTTGGTCTGCACACTCGGAGATTAGATTCGTTCGGAGGATTTAGATTCGCGGAGAGTACGATTCTATCGGCGAAACGGGCCGCGCGTGTTCGATTCAACGAAACGGCGTACCGACGTTGTCGGACAGAAAAGTGGTACTGGTAATGCAACAAAATGAGACAAATCATTTTCACTCGTCACATTTTGTCAAAGTAACATTCAGTAGCGTACACGCGGAGGGAATATTACAGTTTCTTCTTCATATAAATTCTTTTCAATTTTACTATGTTTCTAATAAAAGGTACAAACACCAATTCCCAGACACGCACCTAATTTTGGACACTCTTATTATTTGGGTCCTTAGATATGAATATTTAAATTTTCAAAATATGAAATATACATGTTTTTTTCACGTTAAAAGTTTAAATATTCGTATTCAAGGACTAATATAGTAAAAATGTCTAGACATAATGAGAAAAAACTAACAAAACTAATAGATATTTCTAGACATGAAAATGGTAGTAGTCATACGTATATAAAGTTATCATCACTAATATTATAGCAGGATATTTAATAAAAAGTTGTTTCCTTGTCCATAATATGTACTAATTATTTCTCTATGTGATTGTAGTTACAACTATGTTCAAATTTTTTCGCAATGTACGTGTCCGAGCATTGGTACTTTATCTCAATCTAGTGAAATCGGCTTTGTTAAGGAACATAGTAATTTTTTTAATAATACATTTCAGTTCCTGAAACATATGAATAGCGCGTATGAAATGACAGGATAGTTAATTTCTATAAAATATCAATCTATTTTTTGCAGTTACATAATTCTATGATTATTTTTACTATAAGATCTTTTTCGTGTATGAATATTTATTTAATAACGTTGCAACGTGTCACTCACGTGTCACAATTGATGGATCCTTGATGCGCATATTAATATCAGGACGAGAGGTTGACGTTTTACCCGCCACCTGTTGCTGCTCTCATCCGTGAATTACGCGTTCGCAGCTACATTGTTGCAAGTGCGAAAATTTCGCGTCGCATTTCGCGTCGTAAATGTGAATCAATTTTTTTTCTCCAAAAATATTGAAAATTATGAAAATATCGCCTATCATTGGAACTCAGACGGAATATAAGTGACTGTATATAGAGAAATATGTATACTGCATTCAAATAAATATTATATTTATTTCAAATAGTTTATAAGTTTATATATCCGCAAGTTTATCATAAGTCTGTCATAAGCATCAAGCTTATTTAAAATGCGTTCTGAATCCTAGTAAATTTAATATTTCAATTAAGAATATTGAAAATTTTTAAAATAGATATACGGTTTGTTTACTTGCATATTCTTTATTGCAGACAATTTAAAAAAAAAAGGAATAAACTGAGCGATCACTTTTCTTAGCAGAGTAGAATAATGATCTGCGTGTACTCTGTGAGACCAACTGCTGTCACGACTGCATTGATCAAATTTTGCGTGTAAGATCTCGTATATATTGTTCACACAACGAAAGTAACATATCGTTCGTCGTTCAATAAATTTCAATGAAACAGCCGGGACAAGAATCTTCAGCGGGGATGTTAAAGGCGCGTCCGTTTCGAATTAACCGAGTGTAGTCATAAGTAAGTTAGCAACCGGCGACTTTTCTCGGGGGCATAAAATCCTCCGAACGTTTCAACGCCTAAAGAGATTTACGAGACGGCTAGAGGGAGAGTACGTGAAGGAGTGCGAGGGGAGGGAGAGAGAAAAAATAAAAAGAGAAAAAGAGAACGATTACAGAGGCTCACGGTGCGGGAGAGGAAGAAGAGGATGGGGAAGAGGGAGAGAAAAATAGCGAAACCACAGCCACCCTCCGCGCCATGGGCGTGCGCCACGGGGCCCCGTGGGACCCCGTGTAAGATCTCACATAAAGATCGTCGTCCGTGCACAATAATGGCCCCCGGGCTGCCTGTCCTGTCGCCCGTATTCCCCGTGACCTCGTCGGCGACCGTTATGACGAGGCACTCGCTCTGTTGCAGCTTGCCTTGTACTCCGCGTGTAAACCACGCGTGTACGTGCCTTTTAGGGCCCCTCCCGCCTCGCCGCGCTCGCGCATTCACGAGACAATGGCGCAGGAACAACGAAGCCGCAGGGGTGCGATGTAACCCTCAGTGTGCGCGGCTATCTCAATTTGTATCTTTCACGAGCGGCGCGCCGAGTTTCGCGCGTGTTACGTCTACTTCTGCGGATCGCGCGACACGTCCCCGGCCGGGATAATTAGATCTCGGTGTGGGGGCCGATATCCACACGAGAACGACCTCCTCGGTGAAAAGAAATCTTATCGGGAAATTTATCTTTTTCCGTGAGAAAAGCATACAAGATACGGATTTTCTGGAATTTTTGACTCACCTCGTGACGTGACATGTTCCTTTCGATTTTTATCTTCGATATTGTGTCTAACTATTAAAACATTTTGCGCGCCTTTGAATTTTTCACTGCTATTCGCCATTGCTCGGGAATTTACCTTTAAAAATGCAGAAAATCCAAGTATATTTAAAATCGCTAAATACAACTGGAAGATTAATTTCCTAAATATTTCACGGTGTAAAAATCGATGCAATTCACGTATATAAGATCTTTGTTATATTAATGAAAGCAATGTAGAGTTATTTATTATTTCGAATTGACGACTTAATGTAATTTGTTCAATCATCAAATTAATTTGATTTAATTTGATATAAGTCTATGACCTTTCATAATTTTCAGCCACAGAAACTATTTTTTTTAATTATTAATTTTATCGTAACTGTTACCTGACTCAGATCGTACACACAATTCCCGCCGAGAAAGAGATGCATCGTCTTATCGGTGACGTCAGCGCGCTACCTCGGTAGGATCTCGTGGCATTCTAGCTTGGAAAACGGAGCTTTCTAGTGTGCTTTCACCGGGTCGCGCTGCGTGAGTCGCGTGAGTGTACAGTCCTTTTCAGGAGCAACGCGGGCATCCTGCGGCGTGACGATGTACGTTGACAGAATTGACGCGTAATTGCACGCTATACTGTCGCTCCGCGGGCCATAATGAAGCCTTATTATTAACGATCGCCCGCGGCGGAGCGCGCCGATGGTTTCACACGCCGTGAGAGAAATAGAGAGAGAGAAAGAGAGAGAGAGAGAGAGAGAGAGAAAGAGAAGGAAGGAGGAGGGGGAGGAGAGAGTCCTCCTTTCAGCGGGACCTTTATCGCCCTTCTGAAAGAATATCGAGCTCTCCTTTCGAGGCGAGGTGAAAAGAGGAGTCGCTGTGCCCCAAAGAAACCTGAATTGGTCCGCCGCTATACTAACTGCGGTAGCGCCCGGTAGCGACGCGTCATGCGAGCGCGTTGATATTATGACGCCGGGGAACGAAGCGTTTAGCCCGGGTCCGTAGAGAGAGAAAGAGAGAGAGAGCAAGAGAGCGCGAGAGAGACGGCCAGTGCTGTCGTGTATGAAGGAAATTTAAAAGAAATTATTCTTTCCATTGCTCATTTTCTCCCGCATCTTCCTATTCTTGTCTCGGACGGCTGTTACGGTTTTTTACGTATCTTTGGGCGGTTCGTAGAAGAATGGTGAACTCGTTGGAGGATGATTTCGTCGTTGATAGTGTCGTGCTAAAAATTGGGGAATTTCTCAAACGAAGAAGTTACGGACAAAAGTCCAACTCGAGACGCGACATTCCGTCCGAGGAGAGTTTCCGCTCGTTACACGTTGCTCAACAGCGGACCTATCATTGAAATATTGCTTCATTGTGAGAAAATAACATTTCAAAGATATTAAATATTTGTTCGATAAGTGCAAAAATAACATAATTACTTCAAAATCTACTTTTATTTAAATAGAAAAAATAATTGCTTTCATGAAGAGCTAAAGTTTCTTCAACGTTTCAAAAAAATATACGATATAGTATAAGAATTATAAAGGTATATTTCCTTGTGAAAAAAATATTTTACATTAATGTAAGCAAATATGTTATTAGTACCCGTCGAATAAATATTTATTGTTTCTTAAATATTTTTTTTCTCGTTGTATGTGACGACAAAAGATAACGAGCAATAATCTGTAATGAAATAATGCAGTAATCTCCGGTGTCGTGATATTCTTTTTTCAAGTAACTGCAATATCGTACGATTCGTACAGATTGGCGTTCGGACAGATTTTCTAGGAACATCTATAATTAGTATTCATCGACGTATATGTATAGAAAAGTTTATCTCTCGATCTCTGTGTGTGCGTATGTGTGCGTGTATGTATGTGTTTGTGACATCGCTGACATTAAAATCGTCGCGCGTCGATATGGGTCAATGCAGAACCGCTTTTTGAACGAAAATCTTTACGCGTAACGCTCCGTGCGGTCGTTTTCACGCGAGACTCGCCTTGGCCGCTATGTAATTAGACGGACGGATTTAGTGTTCCAAGAACTAATGAGAGGCCATCGCCATTATTCCCCCGACTGCTTGGGGCTCGCCGCTCGGAGAGGCCGCGCGCGATATGTAACAAAAATGACGATCCTCGGAGCGCGTTATTAATCGCGCCAGACTGCTGGCGCGTTGTCTCTTCGTTTCTTAATTAGTGTTAAAATTAACGTAGATGAACCCTAGACTGATGGCTACAACTACGGATAAGCTGCAACTACAGTCATTTGTCTCGGAAACGGAAATTTTTTGCCCTTGTTTTGCCCATCTTATATTTGACACCTAATTGATACGATAGAAATCAGTGAGGGAAACTTTTGACCTTTCCTTACGAAAGGAGAACGCTGTGAGAGAGCGACAAACCAAAAGGCAAAACCGACGTCTGTGATATTTAAAATTTTTAATTTACTTTAGTATCTTTTTTCTTGGCTCTCCAATAGTAACGCGCCCATCTCGTTGTCAAAAAATTGATTTAACACTCGTTGAAGCACTTATCGTAATTTGAAAGCATCGTTCTCCCTCTTATTTCACTTTTAACGTGGTTTTCATATTTTACATATTTTTGAAGTTCTTGGAGGTAAATTAAAATGAAATTCACATTAGTATGTTCTTTGTAGGCGTTCAGTGTTATTCAGGATTAATTGGATGAGTCATTGGAAGAGTTGACAATCCGGAGCAAATTTTTCCAAATTTGCTGATCGCTGCGGGAGAATTGCCGACAATCGCTGGAATGTATCGCAGTAATGGTGCACAAACGACCGTTATTCTCAATGATCGCGTCGTATACCTTAGACCGAAAGAAAGAGAGGCCTGCCAAAGAGGCTCTTTTCGCCGGGTTTCATCGTTCTCCCTTTTCCCGTTCTCGCTTCGTGGGTGGACGTTTCATATGGTTTACGGTTCTTCGAGCCGGACAATGGTCAGTAGCGGCGGTGTTCGCTGCGATTTTGTGGCGGGTAGCTATTATGCCACTGTCCTTAAATAGCACAAACAAGATCAAAGAGTGGTCTCCTACGAGAGTCGGGAAAGTCAAAGTTTCTGAACAGCCGAATCCATGCACAGCTACCGAATTTACGAAAGACGGAAAGGCGCCCCCCGTTGAGCTCTCGAGGGCGTGTAGACGATGACGATCCGAGCTAATATTCTTTTCCTGATTTATGTGCGAGGGCGAAAGGACCGCTTCGCCCTCGCAAACCATAACAAATCGGCATTCAGCACCAGAAACACGGATTTCCTCGGACGAAAAGAAGAAAAATAGAGACACGTCCCATTAGCTTAGAGCAACACAACAGTGTGCGGGCATTAATTTGAGGTCTACGACAAAACTGGCGTGTTTATCGCAATCATTCGTTCCATTCGTCACTCGCTCATCATCGTTTTCGACGGTTCAGGACTCCTACTGTATGTTGATTTACGGTTTCCTCGTCAATTAACCGCAACTTCAGCGTAAAGAATATATAAATTACGGCTCCAAGATGCTCCCAAATTTCTTCGTATTCGATTTTTCAATATAATTTGTTATAAAATCAAAAGTAATCGTGAGTAGATTGTAAATGTATAAGTTACAAAGACCCTTTTATTGTTTTCAAGGAAATGGGCTCCAAGCGGGCGAGAAGGAACATTTGACTGTAAAACGAAACCATACTTCCTGTGAATGAACATCCGTTCCATAATAATTATCGCCTGTTATTGATAACCAAGATTCTGCTAGTAGTTTCGATTGAACTAAAATAACACACCGAGTTAAAACCGTCTGTCGGGCTCGAAACTTTTTGAAACTCATTTTTTTGGGAGAAATGGGGTACACTTTGAAACTTATACATTTGTAATCTACTAGTGATTATATTTGGGCTTATAACAAAATTAATGAGCAAATCGAATACAAAGAAATTGGGGAGCAAGCAAATTGACATGTTCCTGATCAAGTTGATACCAATCAATGTTACCTAGTTTATATGAGGTGATATTATTTTGTGTATGTGATATTGTTTATGTGTGTGAGAGAGAGAGAGAGTCTTAATTATTAATCTGCATATGTAAAATAGAAGGTCCCTACAAACTTCTAAACTCTTTGGCCGATCCGGACCAAAATTTGCATAGTTATTCTTAAGGATTCTGTGGAAAATACAGTCTACCATGAAACTGGACACTCCATCCCTCCTCCTGAAATTTCATCCCCTCGACTTTGTAATAACCCGGGGCAATGCCATGCAGTTTAAGCTGGCAATTCTTATTGTTAATCAAATTCCGGTTGCCACGTTGCATGATTTATCAGGAACCAATAACATCATCTTGTGGAAACCAGGCTGATTGAGATCAAGCTGATCAGAACCATGGGATAAATTGCTAGTCGGGTCCGCCTTTGTAACAATGCAACAACATGAAAATTCATATCTAATGAGGGAGTTACGGGACGCGAATGGTGCTTTAAAAAAGAACAACCACATCGTGATCTCCGCGATCGGGCAGTTATCGATGTCTCCGGTTTCTACTTGCCTCGCGTTAATTAGCCGTCTTCAGTTCGCGAGCCCGTCAGGCCCCGACCCCGCCGAAAGGCAGCGGACGTTATAACTTCCCGATGCGTGGCGCGATAAAAAAGTGTGAAAGGCAGGGCGACGCGCGGAGGGAGGAGGGGCGAGACGAGACGGCTGAATCGGGAGCAGCGCACTTTGATCGAAACCGGGCACAAAGAGCTCGCCTCGTCACCGGCTGAATAGCCCCGCCAAGAAGGAGGTTGGATTAGGTTAGGTTAAGTTACGAGGGTGGAGGGTCCCCGCCGGCACGGCAGCGACGTCTTGAATGGGGCACGTGCTACCGCCGCCGTGATCTTTGGGCCCTTCGTCTGGCAATCTTCGTCTCTTTCTCTCTCTCTCTCTCTCTCTCTCTCTCTCTCTCTCTCTCTCTTCTTTTCTCCTTCACGTTGCTTGTCTGCCTGCTCGTCCGTACGATCGTCTAGAGACGGATCTAGGACTAGAACTAGGGGAACTCCTCGATGTTTCTTTTGGCTCGTCCCGACAGCTGCTCCATCGAATTTGCGATTCCCGCGGCACGTGTCTCAGCACGGATCTTCTTATATACAACGC